AAAATTTTTTTTCATAAAAATTTTATTTAAGATATTGCTCCAAACGTAAAACAATATGTGAGTGGAACGATAACCGATCTGAACCGGTTACCGGTTGAACGGTTACCGGTGAAACGGTTACCGGTTCACACCGGTTACCGGTGAAACTGTTACCGGTTCAAACCGGTTACCGGTCGAACGGTTACCGTTAGACCGGTTACCGATTAGACCGGTTATCGTCACCGTTGCATCCCTAAGTAGCAGGTTTTAAGACACTCTACCAAATTTGTTCAGACAAATGATAAAAATCGAAGTACTTTATGACTCCTTTGCCTGAGTTCCTTTAAAAGTGAATCCCGTGTTGTGGTCAGTAAGCCATGCCTCACAAATAGCATTAGAAACCCTCAAAATAAAAGGAACACAAGGAATCTCAGAACCGCGCTGTATTCGTAGCCCAAACTGAATCTTTGAACTTTCAACCTTGCATTATGAGGTTCTTATTGACCTCGATGAACCCCGCATACCCACAGAATTTTAGTATAGCGTGAAGCTTCACAATCTCATAACGCTTTCCAAACCAAAGAAACACCCATCATTGGATGAAATGATGAAAGCTGCGGATCTGTGCTACGTGTAACTGCACCCTTTATAAATTTGAGCGGTCAATTTGTGAATCTCCTAACTAAAATCACAAGAGCCTCAATTGCGCGCAGACCAACACTAATACACTCTCGGTCAAAAGATCAACTTCAGCCATAACACCTTTTAATGGCTTCAGTTGCATTGCTTCACTAGCTTCCAACATGCAAACAAATAATTGCAGTTCCACAAGTCAGTTTTATACAAAAATATTTCTTGAATTCGAATATACTATCGGTGTCAGCGACGCGGATCGCTAATGAACCTTCGACTGTGAAAGCATCATTAAAGTATCTCACACTGGAAACGCCATTTTGAACAACCAGCGGGAATAACAACCTACAGACTCACGCCACTACTAGGAAATACATTAAAATTAAGCCCAGCAGCAAGACGGATTTTTCACAACAGATAATACGACACCTCATCATAGATATTCATCTTTCCAGAATACCCCTTTCTTCATCTAAAAATCTAGTTCCCAATTTCGAGAAACCGATTGTAGATTGTGATTCCTCGTCGGCGACTTATTTTCGTCAACCTTTATAGAAGACCATTATTCTCTCGAAAAACCCCTTCCTTAACCTAAAAATCGACTTCGAAATTTTGAGAAACTAATTGCAGATTCGGATTCTCCGACCCCGATTTACTTTCGTTAACCTTTATAGGAAACCGTTATTTTCTCGAAATATCCCTTCTTTAGCCCAAAAATCCACTTCAAAATTTTGAGAAATTAATTCCAGATCCGGATTCCTCGACCCCGATTTACTTTCGTCAACCTTTATAAGAAATTGTTATTTCCTCGAAATACCCTTTCTTAGCCGAAAGGTCGAGGTCTCGCAATTGTCGTTACTTTGTTACCAGTGACCTGGTAACATAATGGTAAACGTCCACCACTAATTGTACTTCATTGTAGTTTACCGTACGTCAAGGTACTTTACACTACTTTAATGTACTTTAATGTACTTCACCGTACTTTATTGTACTTTGCGGTACTTCGTTGTACTTTATGTACTTTAAAGTACAAAAGTACGATGTTTCCCCCTTGCTTTTAAGGCTCTCGAGAGTTTTTGGAAGCGGGAGGGGCTAAGCTTTTTTTTGTGGACAGTATCCTCGAATTTTTCACAGAAGCAGTTGAAAAGTCAAATGGGAACTGGGAGAGATAAGAGGGAAGGAATTATTTTAAGCAGAGACAGTATACAGATTTTTTCAGCGTGAAGACTGCACGACATCCTTTTTGGTGGAATCCTGATTTCATGCCAAACTCAGACTTTGGGAAATCTCACTAACTAGTACAGAATCAAGTGCGATATCTCAGGGAGCCAAAACTTTTCGTAGATTGCTAAGAGTTATACTTTCATTTACAATATCCGGAAAAAAGTCTTTTCATTTTTAATACAGAGACGTTTCTCTAGATTTTTGTGCCAAAGGCGGCTACAACACTAGTGACGGATAGTCATTAGCGAAACGCGTTTTTAAGCTTGATTCTATATATTGTACTCAGCTGTGATCTGGTTTTCCAGAAGAACAACTCAGCTTGTCGCTACAGGAAGCAATGCTTACTAAAGCTTGGCTTCATATTCAAAGCAAGCTCTATTGTGTTTGTGAGGTTCGTCGAAGCCATAGACTGTATGAGAGACTTGCGAGATCTAATTTGGTTATTAGGTCTAGCAGAAATCACAGACTATCTGGGAAATACAAGAGAAATCGCAGTCAGACTGCAAAATATGAAGACCTAGACTGTCCACAAAATTTGCTAGACATGCATTATATGTTAGACATAATGTAGCTCAAGACTAGTTCGCAGATTCAGCAGAAATCACAGTGTTTGCCAAATATGTTAGAAGGCGAATATTGCCTGAAATACTTGGTAGATAGCTATCCAGAAAATTTTAGCAGAGATATCCAACAAGTGGAGGACTAGCTCATTTCATCCCCTCACACATCGAGAGCCATGCCTCCTGTCCTGCCCTGTGAAAAACTTTGCTCGAAAAGACAAGTCTTAATAGTCTTTCTTGATTTACCTATTCTCTCAATTAGACATTGTTATCGGCTACTCTGAAATTGGATGCTACCATCCATAAGCAATAGAGATACTGCTTTCTGTTTGAGAGAATTATACTGATACTGTTTTTCCTTTGTGCAATTATATTTTCTATTTCTTTCGGTATGGATCCATATTTTTCATCTGTGGTTTCATTTTTTTGGTTTCTTTCAAGTATATTCTCTGCTAAAAGATAAATACATTTTCATATATAGCTATGTATTTTCTTTGATATATATTTTTGGAACTCTTATTCTCCTTCATTCTCGGCTTTGCACTTTAATGCTTTAATTCTATATAAATCAATCTAATTTTCGACACGTTTCATTTAAATCATCTTTCATAAGAATCATAATCTTTTTCTATAAGAAAAATATGGTTTTACATTTTCAAGAGTTCTGTATTTACCCTGTATATATCTAAAGAACGCAACTTTGTGCAATTGATTCGTGTTGTATTTCTTGTAAACTTTTCTATTACTCTTCTCAGTAGTTGATACAGCACAGCAAGATAAATATTACTCGGCAAACATATTTTCGAATCAACTAGACATTGTTCAATATAATTTTCATTAGCTTCAATAAGATCAACAATACTAAGATGAGGATGTTCAATGATAGTTAAATCTTGATTGCCATCTTCTTATTTTCTACATCGTTTACCATTTTGAGATTTCATACAAACTTAAGTTAATTTTTTGATCAATGGAAATGATTAAGCAATTCGAAGAAAAACTTCATGTTCAAAAGATAGTTCATCAAAAAATGATATTATACAAATATATTTAAAGAATGTGCCTGAAAAATTATTTGTTATATTCTCGTAATGTTTCAGTATATATGGATATGAATATATAATGATATTGACTTCGTTCAGCCTCGAAAAAATAATCAACACAAGAAATAACATGATTATCTTGAAACTCTTTGAACATATGTTGAATATCTTCATTCGATGGTAAATTAATTTGATTACGAAGACAAATAGTTGAACGAATGTTAAATAGAAACATGTTTAATTGTAACATATTATTGATAATATTTTTCTTCAAATCATTGCCATCAACAAATGTGTTCTTACAATGAACTATCAGATATAAACAAAGCTTTTCTGAATTCAACATTCGATGTAGAAACGGAATAATTAATTCATCAGAAACAACTGTCTCTATATCACAATATAGCGAAAAGCATTTTAAATTAGGTAGATTTTCCTAGAAAGGAAAACAAATCCCACTTCATTTGGATAAATTAGATACTGATCAAAATAATTTAACATATTATTTATTGTTAGAAGTGGAGAGAGAATCAAACCAATATTGAGATGAAGTGTACGAAGTTGATTGAAATGTCCATCAAGCAAATAAAGCGAATCAGTGAACAGATAACCCTTGAAGATAAAACAGCAAATGACAACTGTCGATACCAAACTGGAGATGAAACGAAGTTTAAATATTGAAGGTTGGTGAACATAGTCAAGATATTTGTAAATATAAATGTATTCACTCATCGATGACGTCGATTTTCATTTTTATTAACATAGATAATAAGTGATGAAATTTAATTTTTAAATAGATTACTTAGAGCAGTTTCGCCTAAACATAAATATAAAAGTCTTGAGAAGAAAACTAATCATTAATAATAGTGATCATATCATAGCATCGATTGTTGTAGTTTTTTTTACAATTAATTCGATAACATTCAAAGTTATTCTTATTCAAAATTTTATCATTTCTTTTCATTCTCATAATTTCTATGTAAAAGTTTATATTTAAATGTTTTTTTCACATTCTTTGTAAAATAATCTTTTTTGCTAAGAGTGTATTCTTATTAATAATTTATATTCAAAGATTAACTAGTGATAAAACTAATTTATCACAAATAGTATATTCAATGATCTACTCAACTATATAAAATGAATTCTGCTAATTTTTATGGAACTCATATATATTTTTGGCAGGAAATGGCGAAAATATCAAGCCGAGATTTTGCGACTTGTTCTTCCTCGTTACAAACCTTAGCAGTCAAGAATAATAAGCGCCAAACCCCCTTCTCATAGTTCTTCCTTAAAATTAAAATGGTTGGAATACGCTTTTTTGAATATTCTAAATAGTGGAGTTTTTGATTTTGCTTCAGATAAACGACTTTAGTTGATATCAACGATAATAGATAGTAATATATATATTTATTTGCCAAAGTCATCATATAGCCAACAGAAAAAGCATAAACTGATTAGGTTCTAACAAAAAATCGAGTGCCAGAAAAAAAATTAAGTAAAAGAAAAAAAATTCCGTTCGAAATACAAAAATAACTAAGACAGATCGTTTGTCCTTGCAAAGCAACTATCATCTATTATAGATTTTTCATCTGAGGTATTTAAATTTGTAACAAGAAGAACAAGTTCCATATATGACAATTCGAGATTAGGCCATTTAGTTTTATGATGAATTTTAGGTAAAGTTTATAAACAAAATCGATCAAACATTAAATCAATTAATGGATAGATGGAACCATTCAACGAATGTCTCAACAAGGTCAAATGATTAGTAAAAATTGTATTACGTACAATTGTATTGAATCATTGATTAACACCTATTAAAGAATAGAGTATCTCAGCTTTGCATATGTTTTTAAAAATAATCATAAGACTCTCATCTGGTAAATCATTCAATTGAGCCATTGAATGTTCTATATTCATTTTCACCTCTGTATATTATTCTGTAACAGAAGTCGTTTTTTGAAAATTGAAAATTGTTTTATCTCAATAAGATGATATTTGAAACACTATATTTTTTTATCCGATTTAATCGTTCTTATAACTATGAGAAATAAAATTCAAATGAACTTCTTTTTAACACGACTTATTGTAGGATGAAATATAGGAAGATATATGTCCATTTTAACCGATTAATCATTAGATAGATGCTAGAATTTTTAAATTTATTTCGAAAATCTTGATGTGTTCATTCTTGAGATTAAAGATTTCAGTATGTGTATGCATAATGTTGTTTTGTTTAAGTAACGAATTTTAAGAGCAAAAAAGGCAAAAAAGAAACTAAAAATTAGAGATGTGATCATTAGGTTACACTATGAAGTTTTAATAGATTTTTTGACTGAAGATTAATGAATAAGCATTACTGTAAGACATCAGAAAATGCAAAATAACTTTTTCGATAGCCAGATGAAGATGAGCAAGATCAAATTAGTTCTTACAAAACTGTTTTGGTCGACGACATATGCTTATTAATTAATTTGATATAAATAAAATTGAATATTTGTATTTTCTGATGCTATGGATAAAATGTAAATTCTAAATGAGGATGTAGGTGTGAGTGTGGGGGAAGAGAAGATTCACACCCATACCCTCCGTGAGGTACTACGCACTGCTTGGTAGCGAGTAATAACTATTTACGAGACATCCAACATTGCCATTGTTAACTACGTTAGTGGTAGCATTCAAAACTAAGTTTTAACCATTGTTTAAAACAATTAAATTTGTTCAACAGTAACTATATATATATAAACTTACAAAAGCGTAGATATTTATTGAATACAACATTGAGAATAATTTCGTAATAAAAAGCTTAACTGTATAAAAAGAGAATTTTTCCAATGATGCTACTGTGGAATCAAATGAGGATATGCGAATTTGTACAAAATTAGATAAAAAAAACAAGTGTTGAATTTTGATTAAACAAAACAACACTAACTCTATTAATACAGATAATTCAGAGCCTTCATTGCCACTTCATAGCCGAGAAAACATGCCTAGTTAAACAAATAAAAAAGTATATAAACAAATAAAATCGGTTTTGATTTACCGCATTTGCAGGAAACGCTCGAATCAAGATAGCTGTAGTACCTTTATAAAGTGCACCAAGTCCTTCTTTTTTCCTTAATTCACGAAAAACATCCCGAGCACCATTCGGATACTTATCAGATGGTGCTATAAGACAAGAAAAAAACACACAATGAAACGCTTACCATTCATATCTGACATACCACTTTGTAATCTTGATTTTAATACATCAGCTGGCATACCTACAAGCCAACTGAATAATCCAGCTGTACCACCAGCTAATATTGTTCTCCATGCACTTAGTTTCTCTTCTCTAAAAGAAGTATAATTTTAAAAGTTTTTTTGGACTATTAATTACTAACGAATGTTTTTCGGATTTTAATACTCTCTTAAGACCATCATATGTACAAAAGTAAACACCCCATTGAGGTATACCTACATTAACAAAGTCAATACTAAACTATAATCATAATTCAAGATATTCTACCTCGAACAATTGTGATTCCTGCACCTCGATATAAATTTTGAATTCCACCTTTTTTATATAATTGTCGAGCACAATCAAATGATCCATTATATTCAGTTGATGAGACGTTTTTATTTAATTGAGCTGCTTCTTGAGCCTTTAAAAATCAATTTTATATAATAAAATATATTTAGTAATTACTTGTAGTAAACATTTCACTCTTTCAACAGGAGTTAAAACAATTGTATTGGTAACTCCAGCAACTGAACCAGCAAAAAATAATTGTGATAAACTAATATAATAAATTATATGAAAAGTGGAAAATAATAAAAACAAAATGGAATTTTAACTAACCTATAATCTCCATCATCTCTTGATGGTGTTTGGATCTTTTTTCCAATACTATTACCAAAAAAAGATAAAGCTGATGTTGGTGTTACTCCTAATAATTAATCAAATCGATATCTAAAACTATTATCTTTAATCAATATCACTCAATACCTACGAACATCGAACCCACACCTCTATAAAGTGACAAAAAACCCTATAAAGAAAATTGATTCTAATTAAGAAAATAACAGAACAAACAAACCTCTTTCTTGACAGTCTTTTTCACACAATCAAAAGCTCCTGTGTAAATAGGTTTTTCTCCTTTTTTCGGATTGGGCATTGTTTGTAAACGAACCTAAATGTGAAAAAAAAAATTTTTTCTAATGTGTCCTATATTCATTCATATATAATAGGTTATAAAGCTTACTTTAATTGTATCTGGCGGATGCCCAATAATAACAAGACAAGCTCCTCCAGCACCACCAGCAAAAAAATTTTTTATCGGATCAATTTTCTTCCTTCCAGATTCAGGTTGTCGTTCAGATTGTGTTTTCATTTTTGATCAAATAGTATTATTTTGTTTCGAAATACAAATCTATATAATTAATAGTAAAATTACATATGTGGTTAAAGAATAGAAAGAAAGAAAAAAAAGTAGGAACAAATGTGATTTCAAGCAGCGTAGAATAAGACTATCGATTTATATTACCTTGAAAATAGTTTCTAACAATCTATAAAGTGAATAGATTTTATAAAAATATATCCATTTTCAACAAAACGCGTCTTTTTTACTTTATTCATGTGGACAGATTTATAATAATAAAAGTAGAAAGTTTAAATACGATCAGAGAAAGAGCAAAAGAGAGCATTAAGTGCATATTTTAGAAATAAATAGGGTCATACAGGAAAAGTAATATTATGTGATACGTATAAAAAGAGAACAGGAATAAAAAATATTTGTTTTACTTCTTTACCTTCACTTATAGCCAGCACAATCGAAGAAGTAACAATTGATTACTTTTAACAGAACAAAAATAAATAATAATTAATAAAAGTATCAAATTGTAACTATACAAGTTATAAAAATCTAATCTACAATAATTTTTTAAAATAGTATTCCATTGATCGATACTAATTATATTTACATATTAAATAAACGTTCCGTCATAGTGGAGATTAAATAAAAGTCTATAATTTCAAACAGTATTGATATGTCTAATAGACGATTATTCTTATGTTAATACACAAAAAAAGTGACTGTCGTGGGAAAAAAAGTAATAAATAATATTTGTCTAAGACTGTCCCCTAGAATAAGGTCAATTTTCTTCAGAATGATTGAAATTAAGATAAATGCACGGGGAGATAACCCGTGGTCTGATCTTTCACAAACGACATCATTTTTTACTAGGCATCTCGTT